TGGCAATGACAGAGGTCAAACGTTTCCTGTAAGTCTTCACAAGGTTGGCACACACTGTTGTTGGTATGTTGGCCCATTCCTCCATGCAGATCTCCTCTAGAGCAATGATGTTTTGGGGCTGTCGCTGGGCAACACGGACTTTCAACTCCCTCGAAAGGTTTTCTATGGGGTTGAGATCTGGAGACTGGCTAGGCCACTCCAGGACCTTGAAATGCTTCTTACAAAGCCACTCCTTCGTTGCCCGGGCAGTATGTTTGGGATCATTCTCATGTTGGAAGACACAGCCACGTTTCATCTTCAATGTCCTTGCTGATGGAAGGTGGTTTGCACTCAATCTCACGATACATGGCCCCATTCATTCTGTCCTGTACATGGATCAGTCATACTGGTCCCTTTGCGGAGAAACAGCCCCAAAGCATGATGTTGCCACCCCTATGCTTCACAGTAGGTATGGTGTTCTTTGGATGCAACTCAGCATTCTCTCTCCTCCAAACACGACGAGTTGTGTTTCTACCAAACAGTTCTATTTTGGTTTCATCTGACCATATGACTTTCTCCCAATCCTCTTCTGGATCATCCAAATGCTCTCTAGCAAACTTCAGACGGCGCCCGGACATGTACTGGCTTAAGCAGGGGGACACGTCGGGCACTGCAGGATCTGAATCCGTGGCGGCGTAGTGTGTTACTGATGGTAGCCTTTGTTACGTTGGTCCCAGCTCTCTGCAGGTCATTCACTAGGTCCCCTCCGTGTGGTCCTGGGATTTTTGCTCACTGTTCTTGTGATCATTTTGACCCCACGGGGTGAGATCTTGCGTGGAGCCCCAGATCGAGGGAGATTATCAGTGGTCTTGTATGTCTTCCATTTTCTAATTATTGCTCCCACAGTTGATTTGTTCACACCAAGCTGCTTGCCTATTGCAGATTCAGTCTTCCCAGCCTGGTGCAGGTCTACAATTTTGTTTCTGGTGTCCTTCGACAGCTCTTTGGTCTTCACCATAGTGGAGTATGGAGTGTGACTGTTTGAGGTTGTGGACAGGTGTCTTTTATACTGATAACAAGTTCAAACAGGTGCCATTGATACAGGTAATGAGTGCAGGACAGAGGAGCCTCTTAAAGAAGAAGGTACAGGTCTGTGAGAGCCAGAAATCGTGCTTGTTTGTAGGTGACCAAATACTTATTTTCTACCATAATTTGCAAATAAATTCTTTACAAATCAGCCAATGTGATTGTCTGGATTTTTTTTCTCATTTTGTCTCTCATAGTTGAGGTCTACCTATGATGCCAATTACAGGCCTCTCTCATCTTTTTAAGTGGGAGAACTTGCACAATTGGTGGCTGACTAAATACTTTTTTGCCCCACTGTATGTATTGTTTGAGAGGACTGTCAGCAACTGCAGACCTAACAGAGGAAATGAAGGAGAGGAGGGAGTGTGAACATGCTACATTTTTGGCTGGGGATATGCTGCAGAAGACAATACAAAACTGGGAACATGTTGAGGTCCACACATCATATACCAAAGGGCCACGGGCTGGGCACCAGGGCACTAGACAGTGGGGACTTCACTGCCTTCAGTCATACAAAATAATTGAAGGCCTAGGTCGTCCTGTGACTGCATTGCTGCTCGAATGACTTAGTCGGTGGAGATGTAAACATCAACATGTGTAGGCAATGGAGGAAGTGCAGACACAGAATGACCTCAGTTATTCAGAGTTCGGAATGCGAGGTCAATGTGCACCTGTTACCTACACATTAATGTTTACATCTTCTCTGACCCTGAATACATTACTGTGATGCAGTACGTATGGCCATGTTCTTTTTTGCTGTACAAATATTTGCCCCAACCTTTACATGTGTACAGCTGAAAATATGTTCATAATACGACAGTCGATGCAAATCTTTTTTGGTTTATGCAGTTAAACGCGAATGCCCAAAACAGAACTGAGTGTACTGGTCCATAGCATACAGTACTGCTGTATTCAGTTTTGTATACATTATGAATCTGAAGCAGCGTATTGTACACCTATGAGCCCTTGAAGTCCAGCTCTATGAAAATGAAGTCTTCTCACGCAGTAGGTCCACAATGCAAGGACTGTTTGCTTTTTTGTGTCCAGAAAGGGTTGTTCAAGAGGTTGCCAGGGATTTCTTGAGCTGTTGCTGTTTGACCTCCCATCTGATCTACATAGTTCTACATCGTTCCAGGTCTAATACCACTTGGCAGAGTTATCAGCCTTACTGCAATGGTGGCGATCTGACCACCAATTTTAGGGGGATCATTCTTCCCACTGATCACCAATGTAAGGGTCATTTTCCAAAAGAACCCCAATGGACTAGTCGAACAGTCTAAAAATGGCAACCTCCTCAATTTTTAACTAGCTTTTAACCACTTCCAGTCCGGACACTTTTACCCCCTTCCTGACCAGGGCAATTTTCAGCTTTCAGCGCTATCACACTTTGAATGACAATTGCGCGGTCATGCAACACTGTACCCATATGAATTTTTTACCATTTTTTTGAGACAGATAAAACTTTATTTTGGTGGTATTTATTCACCGCTGGGATTTTTAGTTTTTTTGCTATGTAAATGAAAATGTCCAAAATTTTTGAAAAAAAAAGTTTTTCTTATAAAATTTTGCAAATAAATAATATTTCATCATAAATCTTGGCCAAAATGTATTCCGTTATCTTTTTAGTAAAAAAAAAAATAAATAAATAATAATATAAAAATGTAAACAAAAATGTTTAAAAATTATAACTTTTGGTTATAAACTAATTTTGGCTTATTTTTTTTCTTTACTAAAAAGATAACCAAAAATTATAATTTTTAAACATTTTTGTTTACATTTTTTTTTTTTTTTCTATATATTATTTTATTTTAATTTTTTACATACTGTCACCCTAGCAGTACAGTACTACTTTTGGGGGGTGATGAAGATTTTTTTTTTTTTTTTTACACTGATTGCTTTTGCACCCATATAGGATGTAAAAGCAATCATTTCTGTTGCTCTCTGTCTGCATTCTTGCAGCCATTGAGAACTACTGAGTGAGCTGTGATTGGTCACAGCTTGTCACATGGTACAAGGCTGTTGTGAATAGCCTTGTACCATGTGACCTATGTGATTATTCACAGATTTCACACGTAGTAAGCAATGATGTCAGAAGACACATCTTGCTTACTGCTTTGCATGTGATCACTGATTGACCAATCAGTGATCACATGATCGGGACCTCGTACAGAGGTCCCGTCCAACAATCGGTGTTTCACTGTGTGCGGAGGACACAGTGGACCTTGGATTGCGGTGCTGCGTGCTCCCAGAGAGCGCGCACAAGCAGGGTGCGGGGAGGCCATTTATAAACGGCCACCCGACCCCTGCAGTGCCACCTTCCGGCCGTTTATATACAACGGCCGGTCGGGAAGTGGTTAAAGTAAGGTGCATATGGAAGGGCCTTGCACAGGACAAACAAGCAAAAGATTTCCCAGCACACTTACCAGCTAGCCAAAAAAAGAATAATTATGCTGTTTAACAATTTACATTGCCTAAAGGGCATTAGGCTGCAATGCCAAATGAATTATGATGCCCCCTATATAGCCTACATATACCATTTTCTAGATCCATTGTAAAGGTCCTCATCCATTACAGTTCCAGCACCCCTCTCTGGTCAGTTTCTGATGCTGCTTCTCAGCTGAATATGCACTATTGCAAATGATGTGCTTAACTGAAATAAAGCAGCCAAAAAAATGCATGGTGCCCCTTTTGATTATTCCTGAGTAGGACTACTTGTTTTTCTAGTTTGTCAAGTGATTGTCAACACTTTCTTTGCCACTAGTACTTTTCATCTGTGTATGGCATTGTTTGAAAGTTGCAAGAGGGCGTTGTAGTGGAAGATGATCTACTTGTGACTTTGACACCTGTTCTCAGTCAGCCTGGGAAAAGGGCACTGCGCGCTCTTCAAGCTGCCTCGGCCTGTCCTGCTATCTATCCACAAGGAGTCTGGTTTCCCTTCTATTAAAAGTTATGCTTGCATATGAGTTTACAAACAGAATATATTCATGTTTCTCCAATTTGACTGACTTTCTGCTTTTACAGAAGCCAGCTGTGGTGTACACACTGCCCAATTTGTCCTAATAAAATGTGCCCAAAATTGCCTGTTTCCCTCCTGAACAGAATATATCTGCATTGTTATCCCAAATACACTATATTGCCAAAAGTATTGGGATGCCTGCCTTTACATACACATGACCTTTAATGGCATCCCAGTTTTAGTCCATAGGTTCAATATTGAGTTGACCCACCCTTTGCAGCTATAGCAGCTTCAAGTCTTTTAGATTGTACGCTCCAAGGAGCAGGGCCCTCCTAACCCTCTTGTATTGAACTGTGTTGTTGCTGTATTGTCTCCTGTTATATTGTAAAGCTCTGAGCAAACTGTTTACGCTATATAAATCATGTATAATAATAATAATAGTAAGTCTTCTGGGAAGGCTGTCCACAAGGTTTAGGAGTGTGTCTATGGGAATGTTTGACCATTCTTCCAGAAGCGCATTTGTGAGGTCAGGCACTGATGTCGAACAAGAAGGCCTGGCTCTCCGTCTCTGCTCTTTTTCATCCCAAAGGTGTTTCTATTCGGTTGAGGTCAGGACTATGTGCAGGCCAGTCAAGTTCCTCCACCCCAAACTCACTCACCCATGTCTTCATGGACCTTGCTTTGTGCACTGGTGTGCAGTCATGTCGGAATAGGAAGGGGCCTTCCCAAACTGTTCCCACAAAATTGGGAGCATGAAATTGTCCAAAATGTCTTGGTATGCTGATGCCTTCCCTTCACTGGAACTAAGGGGCCAAGCCCAACCTCTGAAAAACAACTCGCACCATAATCCCCCTCCTCCAAACTATACACCTGGCACAATGCAGTCAGGCAAGTACCGTTCTCCTGGCAGCTGCCAAACCCAGACATGTCCATCAGATTGCCAGACAGAGAAGCATGATTCGTCACTCCAGAGAACACGTCTCCACTGCATCCGACGCTTTGCATTGCACTTGGTAATGTAAGGCTTGGATGCAGCTTCTCGGCCATGGAAACCCATTCCATGAAGTTCTGCACACTGTTGTGCTAACCTGAAGGCCACATGAAGTTTGGAGGTCTTTAGCTATTGACTCTGCAGACAGTTGGTGACTTCTGCGCACTGTGTGCTTCAACATGTGCTGACCCCCGCTTTGTCATTTTACGTGGCCTACCACTTCGTGGCTGAGTTTCTGTTGTTCCCAATTGCTTCCACTTTGATTATAATACCACTAACATTTGACCGTGCAATATTTAGTAACAAGGAAATTTCACAGATGATGGACTTGCACAGGTGGCAACCTATCACGGTACCGCCCTTGAATTCACTGAGCTCCTGAGAGCAACCCATTCCTTCAAAAATGTTTGTAGAAGCAGTCTGCATGCCTAGGCGCTTACTTTTATACATCTGTGGCCATGGAGGTAATTGGAATACCTGAATCTACTGATTTTATAGGGGTGTCCCAATATATTTGGCAGTATAGTGTATATTGACAATACCAGTGAGTTATTTTCTAATGTTAGTGTATCACTTGGATTGTTGCAGGTGCTGTTGCTTGTGAGTGTTCCAAAGCGAGAAATAGTATTGATGCTTGTAAAAAAATCTTCCCACGACCAGGCAACTATTAAATGATCATGCCTTTTGTGAATACATGTTCTCTTACAAGCTAAATTTCTCAATGCTTGGTCCCCTTGGCTAGAACACGGCTGTTGCACATAAGTACCTTTGACTACCTCCCTATTGCAATTAACCCATTGACAAACCTTTTATTGGCTTTTAAATCCATTCCCCACTGTACAAAAGTCTCTCTTTAAGCTCCATGCACACTTGTGTTTTTTTTAAGCTCCTAGAAGCTGTTATTAGCATTTTATTCTGCTCCCAGAAGCTAAATAGTGTTATCCTATATGTCCATGCACACTACTTTAGGCTATTAGACAAGGCATAGATTAATTGAAAGAAAATTGCTCAATTCCCCCATCAACACTGCAGAGACGCAGGGAGCCTTCCCGGCTGGCAGAATACAAAGATTATTGCTAGTGGCTATAGCCACTGGCACTAATCACAGGCATAAAAATCTGACAGGCTGGTTGTACCCAAATTGATCAATGGATCGACTTTGGTACAATCAGCCTGCCCATACATGGATCTGAATTTGGCTGGTTTCTGCTGAATCAGCCAAATTTTCTATCCCATGTATGGCCAGCTTACCCTCATTCTCCTTTCCCCTTTCCCTATAGCCTGGAACTAGACACAGTGTACCAGGCTGATTCTCGCCTTTTCCCTTTTTTTTTTTTTTTTTTCTTTTCTTTTTTTTTTTTTTACTGTTTACTAAAAGTTATACAATATGTACAACTTCTCAGTTTATTCTTTTTCAATAAAAGACATATTGAAACTAAAAGGAAGTGATTGAAAGAGGCTGTAGGAAATGAATGAATGATGAAAAAAACAGACAACAGTATTTCCTTAAGCAAACTAAATGGCATCCAATGGAGATTTAGGCCTCATTCAAACATTGCGTATTAAAGCATATGCCCACGAGAGGGCCTTGCTTACCTGTACAAGGATGCAGAGGTGATCCATGCATCCCTGTGCAGGCAGACCTATGGATGACTATTGGGACACAGTGGACATAGCCACTGCTCCCAGTTTGATGTACGTGGGTGTGGGTGCATGGCCTTGAACGCACACTGTTTTTGTTCAGGGCTGTGCTCCCACAGGGATGTCATATTAGGACACAGTGGTTGTGTCCATGCAGCTGCTGCATCCCAATACTCATCAATAGAACTACCTGCACAGGGATGTACGGAACACCTGTGCATCCCCATTCAGAAAAAAACACAGCACTCGCATGGGGTACACATTAAAGCGGTAGTAAACCATGGCTTATTTAAAAAAAAAAAAAAAAAAACTGCAAGACAATGACATAATGTGCTAGTATGCTTCACTAAGTACTTACCTTAAAACAAAGCACTCCCGCGGCGCGCTTTCACAGCTGAGAGAGCATCCATCTTTTTTTAGGTCTTTCTTCCATGTTCGCGTGCTCTGGCCATTTGATTGGCCGAGCCATGATGACGTCACTCCCATGCATGTGTGTGGGAGTTTCAGCCATGGCACGGAGCTCTGAAGGTATGGCACAGATATGCTTTCTCTTCAGAGCTCATGTGGCGGTGACGTCACTGGCCTCATGCAGTGTGAGCTTGGAGTTTGCATGTTCTCCCTGTGCCTGTGTGGCTTTCCTCCGGGTATTCTGGTTTCCTTCCACACTCCACAGACATGCTGGTAGATTAATTGGATCCTGTCTAAATTGGCCTCAGTATGTGTATGTATGAATGTAAGTTAGAGTCCTTAGATTGTACTCCTCTTGAGGGTTAGGGATTGATGTAATTGTACAATATATACATGTAAATTAACAGCGTTATATAAGTACCTGTAATAAATAAATAAGAAAAACCTGAGTGTCCCTAGTTGGGGGATTTTCTCCTACTGCCTGTCTCTGTGACTCCTGGGTGCATTTCCTACCATGTGTGAACAGGAATAAAACCATTGTCAGAAGCTTTCACCCTTCCTCACTCAAATAAAAATGTTTTTTTTTCAGTGCCCCAATTGGAGAGATTTTCCATCACTTCCACTTTCTGTATTCTTAGGTCAACAACGTACCTTCTAGTGGTCTCCGCCTCTTCCAAATATTCAAATTCCTTTTCTTTTGTTCTTTGTTTCTGTTGTTCCTGTGATGAGACTTACCTCTTACAGAGTGGCTACGTTCCTTCTCCACATTCCCACGGTCTGTAGGAAGGTAGTCACCCTCTTATTTTTGCTCCCAATGTCGATTGTGGACTATGGTATTCGTAGTACACATAGAGCAGTGCACATGACCACAAATAATGTGCACTGGTAGTTTTACACAAAGAAAAACAAAAAAATAATTTAATGAAAAATAATTACAGGGGCATTAAGCATAGTGGAGGTGTATGAATTATTTTTGAAGAATGTTAAGGATATTGCTCAGGCCCCTTGCATGGAGGGCTGTCTAGGATCAGTTCCTCCCTCCCAGGGTTTTGGTGCGCCCAGAAGGATTTGGTGCAGCATCCAACCCCACTGCAAGCTGCCTGTCAAAATGTATGGCAGGCTGCAGCTGGACAGTGCTGGCCAATATAGCAAGTGGAACCCCTCTTTTTAGACCTGTGTGTGTCCTGGAGGGCCGCACTAGTCCTAGACATCCCCATTTGCAAAGGGGCCTAGCATCAATTTACAATTCTTGGGGTTTGCCGATATGATAGTCAGTACATGTAATAACAGCACTGCTGTAGGAAGCCAATTAATGCATCTTGCTATATGTATCACAGGGACCCACAATATTCATGAACAGATGTACAGCCCCCTTGTTTAATAAACAGTACAATTTACAAGATCTATGTAGAAAATGACCTTATCTATTTATTGCTACAAACATCTTGATTGGTTTCATGTAGAAGTGGCAATACTTGTTTATTCTGTACCGTGATAGAGAAATTGGCATGATTGCAAAGCTTTTATATGGCACATTGAAAGTTTTGTAGTGCCATATTAAAATGTACGAGTTGGTAACCATGGAGCTTATTAATGTTTACTATATAGTGATAGAGCATGTGGCATCACAGTGATACCTCTGCGTTGTGATGTTTTCTGTCTTAATGGTATTTCAATTCCCTCAGCCATCTCCAGGATGATTTCATTTGTTCTTATGGGAATTAGTAGTCTACTGGAACATTCAATAACAGTTTGTTGTTCTGCGTTTTTCCTGTGTGTGTCTTCAACCATTCTGAGGATTTAAAGTGCACCTGTCCTACATTGAGCGTACAGGTCAAAAGTCAACTGCAGGCTTTTAAAGGTTGCTGCACATAGACTTTCGCATGAAAATTGTTCTTTTTTAGAACATTCATACCATTTTCTGATGGTTAGTAGGGTCAAATTGACTTTCATTTTCTACTGCAATGACAAGAAAATTCAAAGGTGCTGGATGGAAAACTTTTTCTTGAATGAGCAAAATTCTAACTGCGATTGTGCTTTTTATTCTGGAAAAAATGTACATAATGTAATGGAATGTGTTTAAAGCACCTCCGTTCAAATAGCTAGTTTGGATGACATTTTAAGGGCTTTCAAGTGAAATTAGTTAACTCGATGGCAAAAAAAATAACGTTCTGAGAAATGTTTTCAAATTTTCCGTGAGAATGTTTGAACAAAAATCTGTCTTTGGTCAGCTTTAGCTGTTCTTTAGAGCGTTTAAGGAATCTTACCACCTGGGACAATCAATTGGGCAAATACTTGGGCCCCTTTCACACAGGGAAGACTCCACCTGCTATCTGCATGGTCAGGGGATCTGGCTACTGATCTCCTGCTGAGAAGATAGATGACAGGTCCATGTCCACACCTCTTATACAGAATGGACATGGACACAGCCCGCTCTCCTCTATGGGCAGTTGGATGTAAACTGCCATCTAATTTGATCTGGCCAGACAGAGGGAAACAAATTCCCCTTAAATTTGTTATTGCCTGATTGGATCAAAAGTAGCCTGGTGTAAATGGACACAAGACCATTTACATCTGCCTACTCATAGAACAGAATGTAGGATCTGGTCAGGTCCATCTGAAAAACGGAAAGGCTAACCCGACCAAACCATCCATGTGAAAGGGGCCTAAATGTAGTAAAAAGAGAAAAAAATTACCTGCTATGCGGTGCCCACATACACATATCTCAAGTGTGTTTAGGGAGTCCAACAATTCAGGGGAAGTTCTGACTTGCTCTTGTAAATCCATACTTTGTTACTGTTGGTAATTGAGAGAACACATTGCATTAATGGTGTAGAACACAATGTCTGTTTCCTTGGAAGTCCTCATTTGAATGGTGGTGGACATCAGGTTTTGGTCCTCACAGGTAATTCTAAGTGATTTTTAATGTGTTGATTTATAATCTGATTGGTAGCTTTTAATACAGTTCGTTGATTTATTTATTTTTTAAAGTATGGTAATGGTCAATATTAAAGTGGGTCTGTATTCAAATGTCAACAAAAAAGCAATGTTCTCAGTCCTACTGTATGGAGAGGTGAAATATTTGTGTGAAGACCTAAGCACTTTGTCAAGTGATCTGATCCTCTCCTTCAAAAGAGAAGTCAGATTCTGACTCTACCCTTCCATCGGGATTCAGTGGCTAAATCCCTGTACACTGGATTAGAATAACGGACAAATGATCGTCCGTTTTTTTTCTTTTTGAATGCTAGTCTCCTATTGAAAATGAAGAGGTTACTAAAGTTATGACAATTCTTGTATGACAGAATAAAAATTCAGAAGTGATGCAATTTATTGTATTTGTATTGTATTTTTGGATGAAAACTATACTGATTAAACAAAATTCGTACAGTCTGGTATTGTAAGAGATTTCCGTGCTTGTCCTTTCAAATAATTTCAGATGAAAGCTGTGTATTAATGATCAGATTATCCTGCGATCGACTTGATAGCGATATTTTTCATACAATTTTCTGATCATGTGTTCTAGGCTTACATTTTTAGGCCTTCAGACATGTGGCCACCACAGCCTTTTTTTCAGGAAACCAGACTTACTACTCTTTATGTACTATCTCAGAAATAAAAAATGTTTATTTAATGCAAGTTTTGATTATGGTTTTGTGAAAAGGTAAACAGAGGCCTCTGGATTCAGTATTTTAAGAAATTAGCAGCACTTTGATTTCCACCCAGCATTTTTGGTGCTTGCAGGAGGTTGCCTTGCAAGATTGAGTTAAAGTGTATGGACACCCTAACCATAGTCTTCTCTGATTTACTTTCCTTTGGTCTGATTTACTTTCCTTTGGCCTACTAGTATATTATTGAAAGTTCTTTGTTATATCTGTTCTATAAATGCAAAAAAAAAAAAAAAAACCTTTGGAATTTGTCAGAAATCTTGTGAGCTGATAACTTTCTATGCATTCTGCTTAGGCATGAGGAAGTTAAGAGAGGTCTGTATTCTTTGTAACACATCAGAAATTAAGGTTGAACTTAAAGTGTTACTAAACTCACAACAGTAAAATCAGTCTATATATGCAGTAAAGCATGCTTGGTATACTCACTGTGGAACCTAAGGGGTTAATCCTCTGCATTGTGTAAAAAGGCTGTTTGATCCTGACTTCTGTGATCCTCCCCTTCTTCCAGTTTCTCCCTCTTATATCCTGAGAAGACATATCCTGTGGAGACAACTCTAGCAATACACACCAAACTGAGCATTTGCAGAGAGGTTTTTTTTTTTCTTGAGAGTGCATATGATCAGCACAGGGCCAATCAGCACTGTCCAGACAGAGGTCAGGGGTTCTGCATCCTCCTGGAGAAGAATGAAATCTCTTCCTACAAGCTTTAACCAGTGCTCTGCTGAACACTGATAGAAGTCACAGGACTGCTCTAACTGCTGATGAGAAAAGGTATTTAGCAGTTTATTTTTACTAAAATAATTTCAATTCCATGTAGTGTGTATTGTGGGAGACAAGATGAAGTGAATGCAGGGTCCTGGATTTAGTAACACTTTAACTGCTCCAAAATTACCCCCCCCCACACAGTCCTGTTCCTTGCTTCTGATTTTTAAAAAAGGAATGTGTGCAGATACAACGTAGGTCTCTTTCATTCATTTGGAAGCTGGCAAAGACCAGTAGTGTATCTGCACAAACACACACGATGGATTTCCACGCAAAAATGCTGCCAGCTTCTGGTGGATGGGCACTGTAGCGCTCCCACTGCATTTGTCTGCATGAGCAGACATCCACTGCATATGTGCCTTGAAATTGGCTCACTAACACACTGCCTCCTAGGATAGCTGTGACATAGCAATCTTAGGAAACAGTGGGGCCCAGCCTAGGCCAGAACCCCAGAAAAGAAAGTAAACCAAAAAAAAGAAAAATTATAAAATAAATATGTTTAGCATTTGTGGAGGGGTGGGGGGCAAAGTGAGACATTGTTGTTTAGGTGAGTTTAGTTTCACTTTAGGCAGGTAGGGCTAGAATTCAGAGCCACAAATGCACTGTCTTGTCATGTCAAAGAGGACGGTAGGAGCACATTATATTTCCAGCACATCTACAGTTAGTTTTCTGTACTTGCAGCATGCTTAAAGGGATAAACCGTGGAGGAATGTACATGTATTGCAGAGATGTATGAAGTATGTTTTTTTATTATGCCTTTACATATGCTTTATTGATTTTTAGTGCTATAAATAGAACAAGGACTAATGATTGTGACTGCTGTTGGGTCAGAATCGACCATTGTATGGAAGCAGATGGTACAAGAACTGATTAGGATTTTACAATTCTCTAGGGGAGGTTTTGCCTGGACAACAGTTCATTTACATTCATGTTTTGTTGCCCACTGACTTTTCATAGCTTTCCAGGTGAAAACAAATATGCCAGTCCTAAAATCTGTATATAAACCTTTATACCGGTATGGGCATTTGTTTTCCAGAAGATTCTCAAATCAAGGCAAAAGAGTGAAATGATTGTTGGTATTCACAAAGACATGTTTACAAGTGAAGTCCTGTATTGTTTTCATTTATAATCATTAAAGCTAAATTCCAGGGATTCAGACAATTTGTAAACAGTGCAAGCATACTATGAATTAAGTCCAAGGAGGAGCATACTGCCTCCTGGACTTATCTCCATTATTTACATCTGACAGGTTTATGGCACTCCCAGAATAGACACTTGGGGCTTTGAGAGGAGGGAAGCACACACAGCGGCTCTGTCCGCCCCTTCCCTCTGCTGCCCATTCATAGAAGCCTTTGAATGTAGAGTGGCGGGCATAGCAGCTGCATCACCTCTGATGCTGAAGTAGCTGAGACCAGAAGGTCCAGCATCAGAGCTCCTGGAGCTATAGCAATAGCCATCTTCTGGTAGCTCCATACACCTGTCAGATGTAATAACTGAAATAAGTCCAAGAGATGGTATGTATCTTGCTGGACTTAATTAGTAGTATACCTGTACTTCTTGCAAAGCAGCTGAATTCATTTGAAAATGGACTAGTATAAATATTTGACATTGTACAATGCTGGAATCTCCACATATTATAGTGAGGGATTGTTGGTGGGACATATTACAGGTGTAATGATGCTTGTTCATAGTCTCTAGTGCTATCAGGCAGGATAATAGTGTGTGTGTGTGTCAAAAGTATTGGGACACCCCTCCGATTTTTTTACAGTGGGGAATGGATTAAAAAGCCAATAAAAGGTTTGTAAATAGGCTAATGGCAATACGGATGTAGTCAAAGAACTAATGTGCAACAGTTGTGTTCTAGGCAAGGGGAGGTGGGCTTTGGAGAACATGTATTCATAAAAGGTAGTTGCTTGGTCGTGGGAAAATTGTTTACAAGCAGCAATATTTGTTGCTTTGGAACACTCACAAGCAACAGCGCCTGCAACAATCCAAGTAATGCACTAACATTAGAAAAGAACTAACTGGGATTATTGTCAATATGTACTATATTGCCAAAAGAATTGGGACACCCCTACAAATCGATGGATTCAGGTGTTCCAATCACCTCCATGGCCACAGGTGTATAAAATCAAGCACCTAGGCATGCAGACTGCTTCTACAAACCTTTGTGAAAGAATGGGTCGCTCTCAGGAGGTCAGTGAATTCAAGCGTGGTACCGTGATAAGTTGTCACCTGTGCAATAAGTCCATACATGAAATTTATTTCCTTGCCACTACATATTGCACGGTCAGCTGTTAGTTGTATTATAACAAAGTGGAAGCAACTGGGAACAACAGTAACTCAGCCACTCAGTGGTAGGCCGCGTAAAATTACAGAGTGGGGTCAGCACATGCTGAAGCGCACACTGCGCAGAAGTTGCCAATTGTCTGCAGAGTCAATAGCTAAAGGCCTCCAAACTTCATATGGCCTTCAGATTAGGACAACAGTGTGTAGAGAGCTTCTTGGAATGGGATTCCATGGCCAAGCAGCTGAATCCAAGCGTTACATCACCAAGTGCAATGCAAAGCGTCCGATGCAGGTGTGTAAAGCATGCCGCCACTGGACTATATACATTATATATATATATATATATATATATATATATATATATATATATAATCCATATAATCCTTATACACCTAAACCAGCAAATGGGGTCCCATCATCAATGGAGGAACTAGCCAGGGTGTGGTTCATAGCCGGAGATAATTGTGGACTCATTAAATTGTTTTGTGCAATTTTCATAATACATTTGTAATTACCATGCCTTCAGCTATAGGTTGTGTGTTTGTATGTGTAAGCATTATTTATTTATATCAGGGGTCTCCAAACTGCGGCCCCGGGCCAGTTGTGGCCCTTTGCTAGCATTTATCCGGTCCTTGGGGCACTATTGCTCCCAATGATATGAGGCACTGGCACCAACAATGGAGCACTATTCCTTGCACCAATAACGATCTGCTATACCTCCCACTGATGCCAATGATGGGGCACTATACCTCCCAATGATGGGGCACTATTCCTCCCACTGATACCAATGATGGGGCACTATTGTTCCCACTGATACCAATGATGGGCCACTAATCCTCCCACTGATACCAATGATGGGGCACTATTCATCCCACTGATACCAATGATGGGGCACTATTCCTCCCACTGATACCAACGATGGGGCACTATTCCTCCCACTGACACCAATGATGGGGCACTATTCCTCCCACTGACACCAATGATGGGGCACTATTCCTCCCACTGATACCAATGATGGGGCACTATTGTTCCCACTGATACCAATGATGGGCCACTAATCCTCCCACTGATACCAATGATGGGGCACTATTCCTCCCACTGATACCAATGATGGGGCACTATTGCCCCCACTGATACCAATGATGGGGCACTATTCCTCCCACTGATACCAATGATGGAACATTACTCTTCCTCCTACTGACCTCCAACCCTGAGGTTGGTGTATTCTCAATAATGCTGGGCCCGGGACATTTTTTACCCCAGCTGGCAACAATCCAGCCCCCCTGAAGTCTGAAGGACAATAAACTGGCCCATTATTTGAAAAGTTTGGAGACTCCTGATTTTATATAGATAATTGCTGATAAAAAACATAAATAAATACTAACATAATAAATAATATTGATGAAAAATAATGTTTTCTATAAAATGCAGTTCTGATAAACAGGCTTTGATTCCTTTGATGCAGAATGGATGTAAAAAGAAGCCTTTCTTGATTCAGGGTCAAACCTGGATCGCCAAGGGCCCAGTAGCTGTTGCTATGCCATTACATTACAATACAGTTTTGTATATGTACAGTAGATGTATAGTTTTATTTCTGATACAGCTTCTGTATTTGCACATAAGCTTGCAGCATGTATTTTTCACATGAAAGCAGAGTTACATAATCCATTGCGGTAACCGTGCTCTAAGGTCAGTGCAGACATAGCTTGTAACAGTATGTTTTTCTCTAGTTCTGTAGAAGGCTCTGGGTTCAGATGGATTTCAGCATTTTATCATGTTGTAACACTAGCAGCATGAGCTGTGTAATCTGCAAGGGACAGTTCCTTTTACTTATAACACTTCCCTCTTTTTTTATCAAGGGCTTCTCAAACATGTTCTAATGTCCGCTATAATATCCATGTTGATCAATGTGATGTAACTGGTTTTAGCCTTTTTTTTATTTTAAATGTTAATGTTTACTTATTAAATTGATATCTGAATTTTCTATTTATTTTGTATTTTCTAAAGATCTAATGTAAAAACTTCTTGTAGCAATTTCTTCCCCTGCTATACACATGGTTGCTGCCTTTCTGTGTCTCACAGGGCAGTAATATAATTGTGACAGACGGCAGCAGCAGGACAGAGATATCCTCAGAAGCTGATTGTTTTCCAGTTTCAAAGAGGGTCTTCAGAGTATTGAACTTGATGATTGCCTCCACATACCCCATTTTAAAGTAGAACATTACCTATAACAACTTGATAAAAAATAATGTTCTTTAGCAAGGCACATACATTCCACATTAATAATTATGCTACCAAAATTAGTGTGTGCTGTAAATAGCCTCCAGCATTGCTCCTGTTTCTTCTTTCTGGAGGCTGCCATTTTATTGGAGCCCAGAGCCCCTGAATAGCAGTGCATTATAAAGTGGAACTAAACCCGTCGATTTTACAGTTTCAAAAAACAGCTACATTCATGGAATGCTGTGATTGCTAATTGTCACATTTAGTTGTGTTTGAACCAAACTGTCAAATCATCAAATGACTGGTGTCATAACTGATCACATGTGCAGCACCATGGCAGTTGCTGATCAGAAGTAGCTTCCTTGGCTTTCAGTGCCCATTCACATATATGCGGATTGGATGCGGTTTGAACTGCATCCAATCCGCATGACATGTGAAAAAAACATTTGCTTCCTATGGTGCCTGTTCACATATGTGCGGTGCACTGGTGGTGTGGTTTTTTAAAAAGATTCATTTCTGATTT